GGGGGGGGGTGGGGGTCGGAGAAAGAGGAGGCAAGGGGAGCAGCTGGAATGTTAATAGCGAAGGACATTAATCCATTTGCCTGCAAATGGGAAAGCCAGGGGAAGAAATGGCTCCACCACACGAGCGACTGAATTCAGGGATTTCATTTAGCAACCAGGCGATAGCCAAAATCACCTCCAGTGTTTCATTTTGGACATGGCACAGGACAGTCCTCAGAGTCGGGGTCTGTGCCCTGAGCCCTGACACAGGTGCCCTGAGGGACCCCAAGCATCCTGCATGCCCTCTCCAACTTTTTCACGGACCCCATGGGGTTGCAGAAGGGCACACGCCCACGGGTGAGCATCGCTTGTGGATAAATTTCACATCAAGTGACTAACGGCTAAAATTTTGGCTTGGGGAGAAGCTTACTCCGATGCGGTGAGCCACTGTCATGGTTATCAGAAGGTTTGCTGTTTCCCCATCCCTGCTCATGCCCTCTTCCCCCACAACGACAGTTCCTATAGAGCAGGGACCACCGTAATGCAGGGCTGGCACCTGCATCCCAAATGCCCCGAGACTGGAGTCAGGGTTGCAATCATTTTCCCATTCAGTACTGAGATAAAGTCAAGACCTTTCAAGCTCCAGGGTGCCCAGTTTTGGCATTTTCTGCTAAAATGGAAAGGTCAACGTTTAATTCGGGAGCAGCAGAAGAGGATCCAGGACAATTTCACCAGGCAAGAGCCTGCAAGGGACCATTTCATCTGTTTTCCAGCAGCTCCATAAGCATCCGGGAAAGGGGCAGCAGGAGAGCCCCTTCCAGGGGGGCATCCCGGAAGAGAGGAATGTCTTACGGCCAAAAGCACAGCCGTTTCCAAAAATAAAGAAATTCAGATTTAAAAAAAAAAAAGTCTTTAAAACCAGAATTTCACCAGCAGGCTGCAACTTCCCACTTGAAACATTTCTGGGATTATGGCTTGGACACAGCAAAAGCACTCAGACACATGCTTAACTTCAATCGAGTGTGCAAATCCCTCTGAAGTCAATGAGGCTCTTCAGACGCAGCCTTAAGGGCGTTCTGGATCATTTCAGCAGAGCCAGCAGTCGCCGCTTACTTACCCCCTCCACATCATAGGGAAGGAGGTTTAAGCTGTGTCTGGTCTCCATGTAGGACTTTTACCCAGGGCTATGCACATTGCTGTTGAGGGTATTGAAATTCTTCCCTCCTCTGGACCCCACAATGCAGACCTGTGTCATCCTGGCAGCTCTCGGGATGTTTTCGGTCTCATTTTGTTTCATCCGGGGGGGGAATGCACCAGTTTTAACCTCATTTTTGTCGGGGAGGCTGAGCCAGAGCGATTTTCTCCCCACCGCCCAGGGTTTCCTGCCATTCCAAGCCCATCCCGTCAGATACGTTCCCAGATAGGGTTAGCAGGAGTCTGGGCTGGTCCAGCACAACCCAGTTTTCACAAAATATGTTGAAAGGGTCATTTTGGTCTGGAGCAAAAGGAGGTGTGGAAAACTGAGAAGTTGCCATGCAACGGACGTATCGGCTTCTGGTGTAATTTAGTCCTTATCATCACCTTACAGGTGGGGGAAACTGAGGCACAGACAGGTTAACGTCCAGACAGCCAAGCCAGGAAAGCAGAGCAGGCATGAGACAACTGAAGTCTTAATACTTATACTTGCTCTCGTAGCGATTACACACTCTTCCCTGTGGGAATATAGACTAATTATAGCAATAATAAATATTGCCTCTAAAGAAGCTAAGCCATTGCCTCAGTCTCAAATGCACTCGCACCTCACATCTGGGAGGCAGATCTCCTGCTATAGGAAAGCTCTGCAGCTGGGATGAGAAGATCCCTCTAGAAACAGCTTGGACACTTATGGATGCAGCTCCCCAGCTGTTTGTCACCACGCTTTTGCAGGAGATGACACCCAGGATCTCAGCCTTGGAGAGGGTGGTATCAGCATCCTCATCTGCTCCAGCGCAAAGGCAGCCTGGTCAGCTCAGCTCATTACCCGACTAAACTAACCCAGCCCAGCCCTGTCCTCCCATGGGCGCAGAAAAATCCAGCGGAGAGGCCATGGCAAACAGCTGGGGAACACAAAAATGTCTTTAAACACCGCAGCTGTGCTCCTCGGGGTTTTCCAACCACATCCTAAATCCCTTTGCTGCTCTGTCTAGCATTGCTCCAGAGGTCAGCACGCCCAGGCAGGAAACCGAGCAGCTCGCTGCTGCGGGAGGCTGCGATGAAATGGCTGCAACGAAGCCAACCAGCCACCCACCACCCAAGCAAGGTGCCAGCTATCCCCATGCCGGGGGGACATGTCAGTCTCTCCATCACCTACAAATGCCGACCAGGAGCAGTTGCAGAAGTGCCTGGGAGGCAGGAAAAAATCAAATTTTCCTGCTAGGAGGCCATGCCCTGCCCAAGACACTGGGGTGGAGGTGTCACAAACTGGGCTTGGGACCTCACGCTTGCCAGTCCTTGGCAGCTGGAGGAAGCCTTTTTCATGCTAACAACCTCCGCATGTCCTTGAACTCCAACCTCTTCCCCAAGAGGGACCTGTCTTTGGGTTATCCTTGGGTTAACCTGGTCCTTTCACCTGGTTCCTTCAACCGAGCCCAGGATCATAGAGCAGCTCTGAGCAGCACCGTGCAGAAAGCAGCGCTGGAGGGAGGAGCAGAAAACCACATGTATCCACACAGGGAGGCTGCAAGAGGACTTGGTTTATCCTTCCATTAACCCTCAAGACGTGAACTGTCAGATGTTCATAAAGAGAAATTACCCATTTCTGGCCGTTTCACCTTTTTTTTTTTCACCATACTGTTAATTTTGCTCAGAAGTGGAGAAAACTGTTTGTTTTCAGTGGGTTTTTTTTTCCATCCTGTTCAATCAGCCTACATTTAGCCATGTCCACCCAAAGGCAGCCTCCCACGCATCTCCTTGCCATCATTTTTTCTCTATCCCATGGTTTATATTTGGGGATGCTTTCCCCCGCGGCCCCAGCCGGTGGAAAGCCAGCTTGCCATGCAGATTGGTCTGGGAGGGCTTTCACCATCGCCGGTGGCACGGCCGCAGGCCATCCCCCGAGAGCGCACCAAACACCGGGAGAAAAAAACGGTGTCAGGAACGTGCCGGGGGGCAACGCTGGGCTGCAGAGCGGGTTGGCGACCGTTTTCAACAGGAGATATCCAACACCAAGAGTTCTTCCAACTAGCAGTAACAGGATAAGCCGTAAAATATGTGCTCTGATTTGGAAGTAGCAAACACAGCAAATAACCAATTATTCCAAATAGTTTACAGATTTTGACTTTTTTTTTTTTTTTTTTTTGGCTTGGGTTAGCTTTGCTAACTTGTCATTTGATGGGTTATTTGTATTTCTTACAACCAAAGCATCGCAAGCCAAAATAATGGTACAAACAACTGCGTAGAAAGCACCTTATAGTGCTTCTCAGGGGAGAATGGAGGCTCCTCGTTGCAGTTTCATAGCTCAGAGGTGTCTGAGGGCTCCTCGTGAGCTCCTCTCCTCTGGGAGATGCTCATAAACTGCCTGACTGCTGCTACTGCTCCACAGGTAAGGCTGGTGGAGAGGAGATCTTGCCAGACCGTTTCACAGCTGGGAATGCAGGAGTTGGGTGGCAACTCTCGAGGCAGATA